TCCCTCTCTCTCTCTCTCTCTCTCTCTATCTCTCTCTCTCTCTCCCCCTCTCCCCCCCTCTCTCTCTGTATATATAAACATGCATATATATGTAGTCCCTCATAATAACCTCATGTTGTAACCCTGTTTAGAGTTGACTCTTCCTGTCTTTCAAATGTTTTATTGCAGCTTTATCTCTCCGTCTGTTCTTGATGTATTTCTCGTCCCATAAGCTTACTCCAGTTCGTCCTCTCTTTCTATCACGCTCACGGCGTCTTGCCCTTCCCTGTATCTTCCCATGTACCGAATCACTCACTCGCCGCCGGATCAGATTCTCTCTCTCTCTCTCTCTCTCTCTCTCTCTCTCTCTCTCTCTCTCTCTCTCGTGCACCAGTCTCTCTCTCTCTCTCCCGTGCGCCAGCATCCGTGGGAATGACATGATTAAACGTGCGCGTCACTGCTTTTGTGTCTATTCCTGTAAGCCAATCACAAACGCCGACAGAATTTCCTCGTTCTGGGTCAACCAATCAGCGTTGAGCTCGCCGCGTATAAGAGTCAGAGTGGTTTCCTCATCTCAAATCAATAACCTCAGCAGCCTTCAGAGACGCACTGTGAAGAAGTGAGTTGAAAAGTGACAATAAACGATTGCAGCATTTTACGCAGTATCTTGTTCATGATGATCTTCAAGCCCTGTGTTTACTCTGTGATTTTCTTGTGAGTACAGTGTTCAATTACTTTTGTATTCCAACTAACAGTTTGTGGTAAGACACATCGTTATCTATTGTAGTAAAACCATAACACAGCTTTTTCAGCACTTTATTCTTTGAGAGAAATAGAGCATTTTGTGGTTTTTGGCGAACAAAGGATACATAGGACATTTACCTTCCTACTGAGCTCAACAGAAGTCACATTCTGTTATCTGTTTCAAGTGGTGAGAACTTCCCAACAATGTTATCAGAAGTAGAAAATCGCCTCTCGCCTAGCCGAGAGTGTCTCGCCAAGCAGGAATGCTCTTCAGCACCTCCGTCGAGGTCCAACTCATGGCGCAGCAGACATAGGAGCAGCATCAAGAGAGAAAAGAGAATGAGCGGCATGGCAAGGGCAAACAGTGCCAGTCTCCCCGACTGCACCACAGACAGCGCCGCGCTCTCCAGACGAGACATCCACAGAAAGTCCTCGGGCTCCATCAAAGAGTGCTCTCTCTGCACCGTTCGCTCCTTCAGAACCACCTCGAAAGGCATCGTCGATTCCGGAAGCTTCTCCAAATCCCTCAGCTCCAACAGTCTTCTGTCGTCGGGCAGTCTGGCCACTTCTGGGAACAGCAATAGCAACAGCAACAGCCGCAGTGCCTCCGTGGACAGAACCCGAGCGGGCAGTGTGGAGTCCAGCGACGGCTCAGAGGGTACCCCAAGCATCTGTGTGACCGCGTCCTACTACAGAACGCTGGTCCTGGGCGCCACTGGGGTGGGCAAGAGTTCGCTCGTGCAACAGTTCACACGCTCAGACTCGCAGAATGGTGAGTACGACATAAATAATTATGCAAAGGGAACTTGGAACTTGGGGATGGGTTTATAAGGGACAAGAGAACACAAGATTAGTTAAAAGTCTAATTTGAATCAGGATCTCATTGATACAGAAAGAAAGGAGAGATATATAAAGAGAGCGAGAAAGAAAGAAGGGGAATGAGAGA